TCCAGCTTGAATTTTTGGCAGTTCTCTGTAGACATACTATAGGATTTTACTTAATGATATTGTTTTATGATTTCCATATTTTGTCAGATATTTTTTTTCCTTCAGAATGGGCCCAAATATAGATCTCTTCCAGTCAACTGGCCAGGTAACCATCTCTAAGTTCCTGGCATAGACAAGTGAGCATGTCCAGTACTGTGTTTATTGAAACCTCTCAACTGGTGTTGTGTCGGTTTCTCAGAAAAACACTTGGACTTCTTCCTTCAGTACTATTGGTTCTTCTTATTTTCTAATTCTTTTTTATTGGTTGGCATACAGTCATTAATATACACTGTTTCATAGAATTCATAACTATTGATCTATGCCTCCACCCTCCCATCCACCCATTAACTTCTCATGCTGGTGAATTACTCCCCATTTTTCCGCCTCCCCTTCTCCTCTTCCACTTTTGAACCTTCATACATATCTTGCTCATTTAGCCTTCTGTTTCCACAGTAGTGGTTGTATGCAGTGTTTGTCTTCTTCTGATTGAGTTATTCCAAATACTTTGTTGTTCTTTTTTTATTATTTTAATGAAAGTTTACAGACTTTGGATTTCCACTCATTGTTTCACACTTTCCTCCCAGTCCCTGCTCCCCCCCACCAGTTAACTTTTCTCTTTGAAAAGTAAAAATAAATAAATAGATAGATAGATAAATAAATAAAATTCTTTCATTGTTATACAATCTCACCACCACCCCCAGTCCACTCCACTATGCAGCTTTCATTCTGGACTCTTGTCATGACAATAATACTTAATCATAATTCCTCCTAAACAGTCTCTCCCTCATCTGTTTCAATGCAGTGTACATTATTCATCCCCTCTTAGATTCCTCCCAACCCTGATGTCAGTCCCACTTCACAACAGTGGCACTATGCAATACCTATCTTTTTTGTAACTGAGATATTTCCCTCAGTATAATGTACTCCAGGGTCATCAATTTTGTATAGTAATTCATGAGTTCCTTGTTTTTCAATGCAGCGTAGTATTCCATTGTGTGAATCTACCAGAGCGTCTCTAGCCATTCGTTTGTTGATGGGCACTTGTGTTGTTTCCAACTCTTCACTATTGTGAACAAAGCCGCAATAATCATGGGTGTGCATATATCTGCTTGGGTGGCAACAGAAAATTATTATTCCCCTAAAAGACTAAGAAGTCATGTGCTTTACCAGATGCAAGGGAAGGAAGCATACTGAATGGGAGCTTGTTTAGATGGCTGCACCCTGAAAGTTATCTCATCTTATTACTTCATTGTGCCATTGCTTCTTAATCATATGCGACCTCCTGAAATACTCGAATGTCGAATAATTGATTTTGGTACAGTGACTGTGCATTCTTTCCGTCTTTTTTTGACGCTTCATGCATCACTCAATCAGATGTCTTCATTTCTTCCAAATGCAGTTGCCAAGTGTTAGATATGCAAGAAAAGAGTGCATCTTGTCTTTAAAATACAATTTCTCTTTGGAGAAATACTACAGATCAAGTAATAATTAACAAGCCATTCTGTAACTATAGAATTAATGGGTTAAAAAAATGAAATGCTGGAAGATGATCAAAGATTTTTTTTTACCAGAACTCATCCAGGAAATGTAGTTTAATGTAACACCATCTACTTGTAGATAGGTAGTGGGATAGCCAATCTCACCAGCTTGAAAAGGATCTTCCATGACGCAGGGTCCCTGAACTATCAGAGGCTCTCAAGGCACTTTTTGGGGTGGGGGTGGGACTGTGGACAGTTTCCAAAAACCATGACAAAATTGAGCATTTCTTTCCCCCCATTTCACTGAGCAAAACCTACAGTAGCAACCAGCAAATCCATCCTATTTGATAGAGAAGCATTTCCCAACATTTAGAACACATAGGAAAAATAATAGTAAGAGATCTTTGGGTAATCTTTTTTTTTTTTAATTTTATTTTATTATTTTTGTGTGAGTGTACCGTCAAATCAGATCTGACTGGTACAGGAGGAGATTGTCCCTCCTTCTCCAGCAGGGTATCTGGTGGATTCGAACCTCATGCCTTCGTGATTGCAGTGCAGCTTCTCGGAACTAGACCACTAGAGCTCATCTAATATCAGTTAACTTTTAACTGTTGCTGTTAGGTGCCATCAAGATTCTGTGTTCTTAATACTGTCAAGGTTCTCAGATTGTTGGCTCAGCGTATGAACTGAATAATTATGGTGAAAGGATATAACCCTGATGTCAGCTTCTCCTGATTTTCTACTTGCTCTGGTTGCCCGAGTGGGTAAGGAGTTGTAGTGCCAACCCAAAACCAAGCAGTTAAAACTGACCAGTTACTCTGAGGGAGAATAATGGACAATAATAATAATGTAATTAGTGCAATTTATAGCTTCTGAAAATCTGCTGGAGGGTCAGTTATGGGTCAGTGTGAACTGGACAGTAATGAATGAGTAAGTGAGTCTCACCATATTCTATTTAGTTCTTTCAGAGACACACTTAGGTGGATGAGACCTGTAGGTGTGTGGCAATGGAGTCAAGACACAGACCGGGTGAGTGCCTCCAAAGCTCAGAGGCCTATCTACCAAGCCTGGAGTACATACAGTTCCCTAACAGTCCTCTGCTTCCTTCTAACTTCATTCCTACATCTGCACTGAGGAACTGGGACTTCTCAGCCAGTAAAGAAAACGTTCTGCATGAGCATAATGAGCTATTCCACAACGCCCACTCATTGCTTTGTTATCTCTATTCGTTATGGTCCACATAGTCAAAGACCTTCCCAGAGTCAATAAAACATGGCACACATCTTTTTGACAATTCTCTCAACCAAGATCTACCAAGATCTATTTGACATCAGCAATATATCACTATTCCTTCCATATCAACTTCTGAATCCAGCTTGAATTTTTGGCAGTTCTCTGTAGACATACTATAGGATTTTACTTAATGATATTGTTTTATGATTTCCATATTTTGTCAGATATTTTTTTTCCTTCAGAATGGGCCCAAATATAGATCTCTTCCAGTCAACTGGCCAGGTAACCATCTCTAAGTTCCTGGCATAGACAAGTGAGCATGTCCAGTACTGTGTTTATTGAAACCTCTCAACTGGTGTTGTGTCGGTTTCTCAGAAAAACACTTGGACTTCTTCCTTCAGTACTATTGGTTCTTCTTATTTTCTAATTCTTTTTTATTGGTTGGCATACAGTCATTAATATACACTGTTTCATAGAATTCATAACTATTGATCTATGCCTCCACCCTCCCATCCACCCATTAACTTCTCATGCTGGTGAATTACTCCCCATTTTTCCGCCTCCCCTTCTCCTCTTCCACTTTTGAACCTTCATACATATCTTGCTCATTTAGCCTTCTGTTTCCACAGTAGTGGTTGTATGCAGTGTTTGTCTTCTTCTGATTGAGTTATTCCAAATACTTTGTTGTTCTTTTTTTATTATTTTAATGAAAGTTTACAGACTTTGGATTTCCACTCA